CTCGTTAACGCCCTTATACCCTGACACAACCCGTATGTCCCCCTTAAAAGGATTCCTCTTCCCTCTTTACTGGGTTGCTGTTAAGGAACTTAAATTAAGTTACCATAATGGGTATATATAGTAAATAATCGGGTTTCCCCAATATAGTAACTTAATTTAAGTTCCTTAACAGCAACCCAGTTCTGTTGGATAAGCTTCCAGCTGCAAGGTGCGCAAAAACCTCCCAAATTCTGGTACTATAGCATACCAAGGTCATGAAAGATCTGTAGAAATTATAAGGATCTGTAGTAATTATCAACAGTAGCACGCAAACCCAAACACCTTGAGACTTCTGGTACCATAGTATACCAAGATCATAAAGGATCCTTAGTATCAACCGAAGAACCCAACACCCTAGATGCTAAACCCTAAATCCCACACCCTAAACACTAAACCCCAATTCCGAAATCCTAAGCCCTAAATCCTAAATCCTAAACCCTAAATCCTAAACCCTAAATCCTAACAGACCCTTTCAAGCGGACCTGCTGATCCTCCTCGGAAATGTGGCCTCCCTGAGGCTCCACCCAGAAGTTGGTTCCCTGCTGAAAGCAATCCAGGGGAGTTTAAGATTTAGGGTTTAGGATTTTCTTTTGCGCGCCCTTTCTAAGGTTTAGGATTTAGGGTTTAGGTGCAGAGTTTAGGGGTTTTAGGGTTTAGAGTTCAGGGTTTTAGGGTTTAGGCTTTAGGGTTCAGGGAAAGAAACCGTATTTCCAAGCCAGTTATCGTGGGGTCCATACTCCCAAACCCCTATAGTCCCCCTTAAGTAGATAGAATATGAGCCATTGTCTAAACTCCTAGTATCCCCCTTAATAACCCCTATAGTAGTCCCCTATATAATCCCCTATATATCCCCCTTTAAGGAGTTTAGACTATAGCTCATATGGCTTTGGGTGTATTATAACAAGATCCCCATATACCCCATATTCTATCTACTTAAGGGGGACTATAGTCCTAGACAGCACAGAGCCTCTGAGAGGAGAGTCAGCGCTGCGCCATCTGCACCACCCAAATCTGTCCAGCCCAGACCTCGGCATTATTAGGGTTTAGGATGTATTGTTTTTGGAGGGATTTAGGGTTAAGGATCTAGGATTTAGGGCTTGAGCTGATTCACTACAACCACCAGGAGAATATGATCATATCCCTTCTTGCGGGGACTACAATACCATTGATCTCATCTTCTTTCTATTCTCCCTAAACTCTTAACCCTAAACCCTTCTGTTAAGCTACTACTCACATGCGGTGTGGTAGAGCCATGTGCAGAGAGGAGGATCCCTGCCTGGGCTCGGATCGTCCTCTTCCGTGGGCACCAGAACCCGGACCGAGCCGCTGGGGGAGACCCACTGCCTGGGTTGCTGTCAACCTAAATATGGGGTTATATAGGCTTGTATAATAGGGTTATATAGCGGTTATATAAGGATCATGGAAAACAAAATGGAAACTACTATTTAGGGTTTAGGGTTTATAGAGCTAAAGGATCCAAAAAATGGAACCTCCCAATAATCCCCTAGTTTCCCAAGCAGTAAAGGGTGTTATTTTTTTTGGGGGGGGTTCCAATTTTTTTGGATCCTCTAGGGGGTCCGGGAAGGAACTTAAATTAAGTTACTATAATCAGGAAACCCTACGATTTACTGTATATGCTCATCTTATGTTAACTTAATTTCAAGTTTCTTAACAGCAATCCAGTGGCGTGATGACCAGGGAACCCAAGGGCCTTAGCTGTCGCAAGCAGAGATCTGGGAAGAGCCTAAATCACTTAATCCTAAACCCTAGAACCTGAACCCTACATCGTAAAACCTAAAACCAAACACCTAAACCGTAAACCCTTAATCTTAAACCCTAATTCCTATTCTTTTCTCCGTTGTTGCCGGAATGCATGGAGACAAGCCGGCGGCTGCGTTCGTCCTTCAAATGCCATGACATAGCTACTTTTGAGGATGAGTTCCCCTTTATCCCTCGAAGTACTATACTTTAGGGTTTAGGGTTTAGGATTTAAAGTTTAGGGTTTGGGGTTTAGGGTTAAGAGCCCCTACTTAGGGACCCCTGTTAAAGGCACCCCCATTGTTGGAACCCCCCGCGCCCATTGACACACTACAGTTCATGACCGTTCTGCCCGCTCCTCAGCCTCTCGGATATGCACCCACTCTGCTTCCACCACAGCCGGCTTCCAAATCTTTAACCTGTTGCGGCTGGCCTTTGGTTAGCTGGGAATGAAGGCAGGGAATGAAAATGGAAACTAGTTAATGGGTTATGTAGGGACTACTAGAAGGATCCACTCCTTCATTCCTAGCTAACCAAAGGCCTACATTCCGCTCAAACACAACAAGGAAATGAGACAAGGATGTGGCAGTTCCCATACATAGGGAACCCTGACTTCTTCGGCAAACTTAAACCCTGGCAACCACTGTGGCATCCCAGTTTCATTTCATGTTCCACTGGATTCTCCATTATTGGGGTAATATCCCTAAATTCAGAACCCTATCTCTCTATCGCCCCTACATGGTGGGGTTCCCAACATTAGGGGTAGCTTTTTGAAGGTCCGGATAATAAGGCTTATAAGATTGCCGGGTCCATGTTGGGGCCCCCCTCTGAGGCACACTACCATACAGCACAAGAAAGCCCCTGCCGGCCTCAGCAGCTCGTGCAGGCGTGTGATGGATGGTGCGTGCTGGTTCTTCCAGACCATCTCCTGCCAGGATGTCACAGTCTCTTGCAAGAACGGCCTGAATAGATGGTTTAGGGTTTAGGGATTAGGGTTTAGGGTGTACTTTCCAGTATCAGAGCCCACTTTTTTTGAGGGGGTACCTATAATACTAAGGAATATAGTAGTTTCCCTAAATAAGGCAACCCCAATATAGACCCTAATATACTAAGTCCTTATTATCGGGACCCCCCAAAAGGTATCCCTAATTTTGGGTAAACCCCCATATAACAGATTGGAGTCTGGATTGGGGTAGCCGTCTCCTTGTATGGTGGCAAGGCCATCCGCTGCCAATCCTGGGTTGCTGCTACGGAACTTGAATTAAGTTACTGTAATAAGAAAGCCCAATTTCTTACTCTCTTCCTAAGGAAATGCTAGGATTTAGTATGTTCCTAAGGAAAAAGTCTACTATTTACCAGATACCAATATTGTGGTAACTTAGTTTAAGCTCCTTAACGGCAGCCCAGAATCACAAAGAGCTCTCCCGGATACCATTGTCGACAGCAGCTGTGGCAAGGTCTGCAGGGACAGGTGCTTATGACTGGCCTTTGGTCAGCTGGGAATGAACGAATGGACAAGAAATGGAAAGTACTATAATGGGGCTATATAGGGTTTAGGGTTTAGAAGGAATGGAAAAGAAAATGGAAAGTACTATAATGGAGTTATACAGGGTTGACTGTTTAGAAGGAATGGACAAGAACATGGAAACTACTTTTATGGGTTTTACAGCGACTAACGATAAGGATCCATTCCTTCATTCCTGGCTAACCAGAGGCCAGATCAAGGCTTCAGCCGACTACCAAGGAAGCTGGCGGGGTCGGGCTGACGCCCACGCATTCGCGGTTCAGGGTTTAGGGTTCAGGCATGTTTTTAAGGGTTTGTTTTGATTCATGTTCAAACCCTAAACCCTAATTGTTTTTTATACCCTTCACCTACCCGTGCTTAGAATGAAACTGCGGAATCGATTCCTACAGTAGCCTCTTCATGCTCCCCTCCCATAATGATAATCCCTATCATCAACTCCCCCCATTCACAATTCACAATTAAGCATGAGTCAGTAACAAACGGATGCCCTATGTCAACCCGTAATCGCCCCCTACATAGTCCCTATATAACTCGGCATATCGTTCTTGGGGGTGTAATCCTTAGATTCTGCAAGATGAAAACCTCTTCCCTCACCCACCCCAGTGCTCATATCTTATGACTTTCCGTTTTCCAAATGCTTTTCCATGATTCAGGTAATGCCCTAAACTCTAAACCCTAAATGGTAGTTTCCATTTTTGTTCCATTTCCCCCGTACATCCCCATAACATGGTAGTAACTACGACTCAAGCCTATATAGTCGCTATATACCCCTTTGAAAGGTGGCTTCCATTTCATTTTTTAGTGTCTTTGCCAGCTGATTCTTCACTATTCCTTCCCTAAACATCCCGAAGCCCTAAACCCCTAAATAGACCCTAAACCCTAATCCCTAAACCCCCAAATCCCTAAAAACCCTAAACCCCAAATACCTGGACCCTAAGCCCACCCGCCTTTGGCTGCGGCTTTGGAACCGGAACTGGTACTGGCTCTGGCCTAAGTTCATCAAAGAACTTATTGGGTTTAGGGTTTTAGGGTTTAGGGTTTAGGGTTTTAGGGTTTTAGGGTTTAGGATTTAAGGGTTTTAGGGTTTAGGGATTCTCTTGCAATGAGATCCTGCAAAAAAAATTCTGCAGGGTGTCGGTTTAGGGTAGGGTTCTGTAGTGCTACAGGGGGATCTAAGGCTTGGTGGCTTAGGTTTAGGGATAGAACAATGGAGAATCAAGTAGAAAAACAACTGGAAACTGGGATGATACACGGATTCCGGGATTAGGGTTAGGTAGACATAGTACGAAACGCTAGCGTTAGCCTAGCGTTAACCCTAAACCTAGCTGACATGTCCAAGCCCAGTGACCATTGAACACCAATGCCAGGCCAGACGATGGGTATGGTGCCTGAGGCGGATGGCAGCGCCTAGTTCATATACGGGCAATACAGGGATTATGTAGGGTTACATAGTTACATAGGGATTGTATAGGGATTATGTAAGGTTGTGGGCTTAGGGATATTACCCGGGTAATGGAGAAATGGACAAGCAAATGGAACATGTCATCGAAACTGGGATGGCACAGTGGTTTCTAGGGGGCTTAGGATTTCCCAAAACTGAAGTCCCCTTCTGGATGTCCCCAACTATCTGGGCAGTATGCTAATATGACAAGGGGGGGGTAATTTGGAAAATTGCCAATTAGGGAGCTAAACTCTGAACCCTAAAATTCTAAACCCTAAAGCCCTAAACCCTAAATCCTAAAGCCCTAAATCCTAAACCCTGAAACCCTAAAACCCCAAACCCTAAAACGTTTAACCCCAACTTCAAGCATCCTCACGTCTTCCAGGCCTTTGCGGCGCGCTGAGCTTTTTGAGCTGGAGACCTGACGTGTCTCAGGGCCCTGACCATCGCAAACTGCAGAGCATGTCTGGATTCTGTTAGGTAATTTAAATGAATTTGCCAAAATATCAATATGTATATATAGATATGCATATCTGTATAGAGTAAACAATACAGCCTCCCAATACTGGCAACTTGACTTGAGCTTTAGTCTAAACTCCTAGTATCCCCCTTAATAAACCCTATAGTACACCGCAGTAGCCCGCTATATAACCCCCCTTTAAGGAGTTTAGACTATAGCTCACTTAAGTTCCTTGACAGCGACCCAGGTTTGCGAGGGCATGCCAGGTACAGTCACATGTTCCGCCTCCTCCGGCAGTTCGATCTCGGGTGCCATGCTCGGTTGCTTCCGGAAGTGGGGGAAGCCCTGCATGACTGGGTTGCTGTTAGGGAACTTGAATTAAGTTACCATAATGGGTATATATAGTAACTGAAAGGATTTCCCCAAGATAGCAAGTGAAATTATGTTCCTCAACAGCAGCCCAGATGATGCAGCGCTGGGGCAAAGAAAGACAATCAATCTAGGGACTTTAGGAGGGA